TCACACTTTATACATGATTTGTTATTAGTCACTATACTTTATTTTTAATGTTTCAAGTCTCTACAGTTTTTTTCATCTATATTTTAAATTTTCATACTTTTAGATGATGTTGACATGGCATTAATAGTGTTAATTATATTGATGTAAATAATAGCATAATTAATTATATGGTAATGTGTTAGTTAGTGGCTGATGTATATTTTTTTTGGAAAAAAAAAGAAAGAAAAGTTGGTATGTACTCCCTCCAATTCTTATTATAAGACACTTTTAACTATTTCATATATCTTAAAAAAGTTAGTTTTTTTTATATCATAAAAAAATGATATGTACTTTCATTTTTATCCTTGATTTTAAATAATGATGCAACTATATTAATTACTTTCATATTAATCAATAAAGAGTAAAATTAAAAAAAGTAATTTAATTATTACAAAGTGTTTTATATTTTGAATCAAAAATTTCTTCTGAAATATGTCCTGTAAATAAGACCCAAGAAATTATTTTTTTAATAACTAAAAAGTGAAAAAATTTTGTTCTAACTTCAAACCGGAATAATATATTTTATATACATTAAAAAGCAATAAACCATTGTAAATCTAGCCCCAAACTTGACTTTGGAATACAAAATCATAGAAAATGTACCTTGAAACACATAATTGTAATAAACCCAAAAATAGACACATGACATGGAACACACTAAATTTTTTTTTAATAATTTAACTCAATCATAGTTGGGTTACAGCCACCCAACATATTTTTATATCAATAATTTCAATATAAAATATTTTATAATTGGCTTTAACTTACACAATATAACATTTCAGATAAATTTTTACCTCCCACATGCCACTAGGCTAAATCACATTTGTCCATCCCTATACTCCCAACAAGTAAACTAAATTACATTTGTCCATTTTTATACTCCCAACAAGTAAAATAAATAATTTAATTGATTTTTAACACAAGCCAATTATTTGGCCTTATAATCATGCCATTTTAACCAATTCAAAGTAAACCAAATATTAAAATTACAGTCATCCAAATTGTACCAAAAATAGAAATAGTTTAAAAGGCATGATTACATTTATATATTCATATAATTGACAATAAACAAAAAGCCCTAATATTGACAATATAAGACATTATAAATCATAAATCAAATACCCAAAAGAGACAGTGAATTTATGCCACTAAGCCTCTGGGACTTCTCCATGTGTCACTCGTGGCTCTTCTCCTGAAAATTATTAACCACATAATGAGACTCAAAAGTTCTAGTAACCAAAGTCAATTTATAATAGTGTGTACAAACAGTTAAGTGTGTACTTACTAAGTGAGAATTAAAAATAATATAATTCCAACAAAATATAAGAAATATTACAATATGCATAAACAACCATCCTTATATCCCTCCATTAACCTCGAGCCGTAGCCCTCACTTGGTGCTAAATTATCCGACTAGAAGTAGATTAGCCCGAACCCTTATAAACCACCTATTGAGCTCCAATAGGGGCGTATCACGTGGCATATAAATACAACAACAATAGCATGTCTCCTAACACCTTCCACAATAATCAAACAAATTCATAATAATATTGCACAATTATACAATATTATAAAATTCATAATTTTCTCAATAATCACCCAATTAATATGAAGTTACACTAATTACAAATTAAAAACATGATTACCTTGTGGCTTTTTCAATAAATTATTCCTTACAATTTCTCTCCCACTATAATCTTCACCAATAATACAATCTACAAATAACATATTATTTATAAATATTAGTTTCAATTTTTGAAACTAATAAAATAATTCTAATAATAGAATTAAAAATGTAACATAATTCCTAATCTTAATTTTAATACAAATCTAGAGTTAATAATATTAAGTAAAATTTTTAACTCCTCTTTTAGTCATCAATAAACATTAATAATCTAAAAATCAACTTCTAAACTAATTTCTATTATCAAATTTTTTTTATTTTATAAATTCACACCTAAAATATCTAAAAATTAAAAATTAAGTCTCTAGCTTATAATCATAATCTTATAGCCATAATAATTTATTTCTCATCCCAAATAATCATCTAAACCTCAATAAATCAACATATATTTTCAGATCTAATTTAGAATTTGATCCATAAGCCACAAATTCAAAGATCATCAACTAATTTATACTCTAGAATATTTATTATACTACTAACAACCTCAAAAACTATATTTATTCAACATAAATTCATCCCTCTTTCAAATCTTAAATTTTTCACCATCACAAAATTAGAAATTAAAGGAGCTAGATGAATAAGAAAAATTTTTAAAACACTTATTTAAACTTAAAAAGCTTAAAATCTCACCCTAATTATCCTATTAGGAAGTCCCACCTTTAAAACTTAAACACGCTACGTTGATGAACTTGCTCATAGTCGCTTGTTCTGTTTGTGCGCGGAAGAGAAGTGAGAAGAGAAGGAAAATGAAAGGGAAGAGGACATTTGTTGTTTTAAAAAAAACATGTGGGTCCCACATTTCCTTTTTGCTTTCCTTTCCTTCTTTTTATATATCTATGTACATCGTACTTACGTCGAAAACTTCATTCCTCCTCCTCTTTTTTTTATTATTATTATTTTATATGTATGATCATTGCATGCGGACGTGCCGAAAGCTGGTCTCTTTTCTTCTTTCTTTCCTTCCCCTTTCTCATACCTTTTCTTATTATTTTTTTAATAATAATAATAATAATTTAATTAATTTTTTTAATTAATTAATTATATATTTTATTTATTTTAGAATTATATCCTAAGTTAGATTTAATAATCATCTCCTACTAATTTGCTTACCTCTAAATTTTTTTTTAAATTTTTATTAACCTAAATTAACTATTAAAATTTAAATTGGGATGTTACATGATATTTTTTTATGGCCTTGAATCCTACTTAAATATATAATAATTATTAAAAATACACATAAGCTTTTCTTTTTCTTTTTCCAAAAAAATACACATTTATCACTAATTGAAGTGTCACCATATAATTAACAGTGTTAACATCAGCATAATTAATATTGTTGATGCCATGTTAGCACCCATTTAAAAGTGTAGGGATCTAAAATACAAACAGAAAAAATTGCAAGAACTTATAACATTGAAAATAAAGTGTAAAGATCAATAACAAATTGTGTACAAAGTGTGAAGACTGAAAGTCATGTTTTTTTTAATTGTAAACAAAATTATGAATTTTTAAAAATATTTATTACATTTTTTCAAATTGCTTCTCATAAGTTCAATGTTTATTTTCATTAGATGAATTTATTTTATTAATTACAAGGATAATTTAGTTTGATTTTTTAATTTCAAATAGAATTATTATATGTGATCAACTTTATTAAACCATGTAAATTAGTTATTTTCTCTTACACTTGAAATGAAAAGAGTAAATAAATACTATATAAGTGACCAAAGGTGCTTGATGTCAATTCAATCTCTCTCTCTTAAAAAGTATATTAGAGAAAAAAATGAAAAGAAACCAAATTATATTTGAAAGAGAGAGATATTATTCATATTCTTCTATTTTTATTTATAAATTATTTTTCAATAAAATACAAAGGACAATTTTAAAATTTACTAACTCTGTCTAAAAGTTAAATGAAAATTTTATTTTTATTAAATATACACATTTTAATAACATTTTTTCTTTCGCTAACATTTAAGGGGAAATAAAATGAAAAATTTGTGATAACAATGAAACAATATAATTTATAAATAGGACCCCAAAAAAATCTCCTCTTGCTTTATAAATTTATAAAGGTTAAGGTTCAATTTTACTTCTATAGTTATTTTTTAGCTGCCTTGGGTACCCTGCACTCTTGAGTGAAACAATTTTTCTCTTAAAATATTTTTTTGATGTCCAGAAACTTATTATTTTCTACTGATGTGGCATGTATGTGGGGCCCACTTATAGTGACTAGTAAAATTTTGACCATGTTCTTTAATGCTAATTTGTCACTAAACTCTTTTTTCAAGAGTTTTGGGCACTCTAAAATCTTTTTTAGGGGCACTAAGTACCTCAAAGTTTTATTAAAATAAAATTTAATAAATATTGCTAAAGTATTAAATGTTTTTGTATTAAATAATTTAAATATTACTATATATAAATATTCATTTAAAATTTATAAATTACTTTTTAAATATTAACAATTCAAACTAACATTACTTCTTTTTTTTTATATATCGATATTCAATCTTTTATCTGAAACAGTGCTCAAATTATTATGTCTTTTGTGCATATTAGAACTTACTTATATTTTTAATATTTGTTACATTTCTTTAATTTTTAAGTCATTTTTTATAATTTGTTTATCAACTAACAATCTTCCTTCAAAATATTTACAAATTTAATATTATATGTACATTGTAGTGTTAAGAGTAAAATAAAAAAGATAACAAATCAAGACCAACAATATGCCAACAAACATATTTAAGTGAAAAATATCTCTTATTGTATTCATGTGTTAAAAAAATTACGTAACAAAAGAAAAATAAAAAAATAGGAAGAAAAAACCCTTTCATTAATTTGAAGGTTCATTCCTTTCGTTTTTAATATAAAATTATAAAATATCAAAAATATTAAAATATCAAGTTGAGTGGTGTAATTTTTTAAATAATAATATTTACATTATTAAATATTAAAATACTTAATATTTTAATAATATTTAATAAATTTTATTTTAACAAAATTTTAAAGTGCCCAACACTCCTAAAAAAAATTAGAGCATTCAGCACTCCTATAAAAATAATTTAAAGACAAATTAATGCTAAAAAACATTGTTAAAATCCTACATGTTATTGTGAATGGACTCAACACACAAACTACATTAGCAGAAAAAAAAATTAATGGTTAACTAATAAAAAAAAATTTTTATTCCTAGAAAAATAATTTAAAGATAAAATTATCCTATTTAAGAGTATAAAATATTCAACACTTTTAAAAAATATATAGAGAGATAAAATTAAATTTTAACCTGATTTATAAATAAGACTAACTGAAGTATTTTGCATGATGATGCCATGGGAGTTGCATACCCTAGCCAAGATGGCCGACACCCGGTCCTTTGAATGCGTATCACTCTTACAAAATCAAAATCCAAAGGAGGAAAATCTACTTGTTCATGTGCAAGAGCAGAAATTTTAAAGAATTGCATGACATTTTCTAGCACCAGGTTTGGTGTCATTGTAGCGTGTGGGTGGTGGAACAGTGTAAGGGACGCCCACGACGGCACGACCACGAGGGACTGACCTTCCACGTGCCACATAATGAACTGGCTGTTAGGCAAAAATGTGTATGATTCGCCGAAGGAACAGCTCCTTCCCTCTATCCTGTTTCAAGTTCGACCATATCATTACGACCATGTGACTACAAAAATTCAGTGTTTTTTCGTATCAAATTGTCACTTCTCTCGAGTCCCCAAAAAAAAAAAAAAACACTCAAACATGCTGCTGTACAAGATGGGATGGTAACTTCCACTACTAATCCCGACGAACCGAGATTCAAATACGCACACAAGTCACAACCAAATCAAACAATAAAAAATGATCATCTAAAAAGAATACAAAGAATTTTGGGCGGGCAAGGCAGTTAAATCCCAAGGTCTAGTGCTTAGTAGAGCTTTATTCGGGTATTGATAGGGCTCCTACAGATGGGGCACGTCTGAAGATCTTGTCCACATTCACAACATGTCTGCCACACAAGACATAAAACACGAGGTGTTAAATGCACTCTCTTCATCTGATTCTAATCATTCTCGACTACGAGAAGAAATTGATAACCGTTTTTACCTGATGACCGCATCCAAAGGCCATGTCCTTTGAATTGCTCAGACATATGGGACAAAGCTGCACAAGACCAGTTCAATGTTTTAGTTGTAAAAACCCTTGAAAAATACTCCATCACCAAATACCACATTTTCAACATCATGGAAGATTTACAGCAGCAGCAATTTCAGATTTTAGTCGCATCATCACAAATAAAAATCCAAATCGCAACACAAAAGGGACGGGCTGGGGTGAAGTGAAATTAATTATCCAGATAAAACACGATATATTAACAGAGCACACTAGTTTCACTCGATATCAACTCTGACAGGCCATTTGGTTGGAGGGATTTCACTCCCCTCCCCTCATTGGTTAAACATTTCACTCCCTTCCCTGCACAGCCTTCTTCAACTCTTCATCAATGCTGCTCCAGACCAGCGCTTCTCAGATCCACCTCCCTGACTTGTCGATATTTTGTTGGATGCTATATGTGGCTTTTGTTGATACTTTGTTTATACTGTGTCCTATACATGCGTTTCTCAAATACACCTTCAATAACAATGTAATTTTTATTTATAATAATAATAACTAGTATATGTATTGTTTTTTACCAAAAAGAAAAAATGTTTTATTAATTTTTTTAAATACATTACTAAAACATTTAGATTACATTATAACCTGATTATATACTATTAAACATCTTTAGAGAGAGATAGAATTTCAATTTGATAGGGGCAGAATTGTTCATTCAGTATTAATGCTCTTCTCCTCTCTCCTCCAATCAAACCAAACAAGAGGACATTAAAATATCTCCCCTCTCCTCCTTTCTGTTGAAATAAAACATAGGTTCAAGCCCTTTTCATTTCCCACTAAAATATAGAATATTCGTTTTGAACCAACCAAGTAGCTCCACAATAACTATTTATAAGAATGGAGGTACAGCGACAGCCATGTTACAAAACAAATATCTCCCTTGTCCACTAACTTTCAGCCAACCTAAGACCGTCTACCAAAATTCTTGCCCAGTTTTCTTGTATCATTGACAGTTGCTGAACTGATTTGTGAGGAAAAGAATGTGGCTATATGTAATTCTTTTGCACAAGAAACAACAACATAGTTTCTCAATGAGGAACGTAAAGGTAATACATAAAAAGCTTATTAATATAACATATAAACAAATTTCTTGTTAGTTGTTACACAATTTCAAGTAATTCATAAAACAAATTCGCTCCATAAAAACCTAAGCTTTGGACATATATAATTCCATTTGAGGGACTTAGTACCTGATTGTCATAAGTGGAGCTCGGGACAGGAGGAGCTGTGCCAGCTGAGATGTTGTCACGATAAGGAGGAACACTGGGCTCAAAACTAGCAGGGTGAGAAGGCTTTGAAGCTCCCAAAGATGCAGAAGCATACGTGGGTGGTGGGAGGGGAACTCTCTGGGAAGCATTGTTTTTTTGACTGCTACTTTGGACCAATGAATGCAAATGACCACAAAACTTTTTGTCAGAAAATTAAGTCAACAAAACCTAAAGCCAACAGGAACAGAGAGGAGCCAGATGCTTACCCCAGAAGATTAAGTTCTATAGCTGCCTTGTACTGAGAGGGAATTTCCATCAATGCTGCAAGAGCAAACGCTGCCTCTTTTCGTGATGGGGGAATGTTCTTTGACATAATCTCTGTGAAATTCACAAACTAGAGAGGAATGAAAAAAAAGCTGTAGATCAGTTCACAAAACTAGTAATTTTTAGCAAGTTGTTAAGACAATTTTTCAGTGCCATAATCATTTACCTGAAAATTATCAAAGGCCCGAGTTGGGATATTATCATCAAACTCCTTCATCATGTCCCATGGTCCATCTCCAACTCCAACCAATATGATTGAAAGGGGAAATTTGCTGTGACATTGTAGGCATATAAGACAATATATATTTGAATTTGAATAAATAAAAACTCTGGCAGAAATGACATAATCACCTGGCCTCAACGATGGCATCCATAGTCTTCTGCTCCTGTGGACTTAGCCTGCCAAGTTCAGTATTAACACTTCTTGTTACCTGACGCAAAAATCATTGTGCGTGAGCTCACAGTTTATAATAATAAAAAACAATAATAGTTGATGAATAAACAGAGAAAAACGACAACTAAATAAGTCACATGGATTAAAATATCATCCTCTTAGCTAGTCGAGAACCAGTCTCAAATTGAATATGTTGGTTCTCCTTCTCAATAGCTAACTTTTTAGGACGGGTTTCTCACTCCATTTGGTGCTCATCAGTGACTATAACTTTGCCCATAAAAAGAAAAGGGGGAAAAAACTAACGTAGTCTATCCAGGATTATAATACCTGGCCATCTGCAATTATCACCAAAACATGGAACTGACCACCACTCTTCTCAACAATGGTCATGGCCATTTCAATTACTGGTGCAAATGAAGTGGGGCCTGAAATAATAATCATAAGTATTGACAGCTTTAATGCTAGATATCTATATCTATAATAACAAGTAAAATATGGATAGCAAGAAAAAGAGAGTAGAAGAAATATAACCAGCAAGTCGAAGGTGAGGAACAATTTCCCTATACCGACTCAACACTTCTTCAAATCCATTACAAAATCTTTCATCTGAATAGAAACTGAAGACATCTTGATCATGCGTTGATGCTGCCATGACATCAAAGTAATGCCTTTTATCATCTCTAAACTTCAAATAGAAATCGATAAAAAGAAAAACTTCTTTAAAAAAAATCTGTTAAAACAAATTGTATGCACTTTAAGAGAGATACCATCCCCAAATCCAAAACAAGGAATTAAATTATCCTCATCAAATCCCGCCAAGGTTTTGCCAATGATGGATATTGCTTGTTCATAAGGATTTAGATCTGTCCCAATGTGATGTAAGCTTCTTCTGTTAAATGAATTTTTTCCTAGAAGACCAGGAACAGGATATTTCAATACAGCACACTTGATTAATTCTAACTTCAGTTTAAAACATTGCATGACTTAACCTGTCCACTCATTGCTCTTGGTGAAATCAATACCAACAATAAGATTGGAAGATTCGAGGCCTGCACATGCAAGAGCTTCGGTTACCTGCAACAGAAGATATTCATAAACAACGTGTTTTTATGTTCAATGTATTTAATTCAATTTATCCGATTGGATATATGTGACAGAAGAATGAACACACAGTCCTCCAAATTCAATCATATCATATTACTTAGAAAGAACCTTTCTAGCAATCAGTCAAATAGTTAAATTTTTGTTTTTTTTTTTTGGTAAAAAGTCAAATAGTTAAATATTTAGCTCTTCTATTAGACTCCTAAATGCCAAAACAAATAGAAGAACAACAAAATGATCCTCAATCGTTTGAGTTATGCATAATTCAAAAAGGGTAATGTAGGTAAATAAAGAAGTCTCATGCTCAGCTGAAGAAAATCAATGCATCTCTTACCTCCTCCACAGAATTGTAATTATCAGCGATCCTCGAGAACCTCCTCTCAAACTGGTTCCTGTTGTCGCCAGCCACTCTGCCTGTAGCATAAGGTTCATGACCATAGTTTTGGCGAGGAGGGATGAAATATTGCTGCGTAGAATAAGGCTGTTGAGGCTCATAATTCTGACTTCCGTCATAAGCTGATTGAGGATATGAACTCCACGACGAAGACGAAGTTGAACGATAAGATGAACCTCGCTCCCAACTCTCCTCCTTGGAACTTTTGCCCCCCATCAACTCAAGTCAAGTTTCCTAAAAAAGATAGTTCCTGACCTGCTTCTCTCCTTCAAGATACGAGGCAGTAAAATCAACCCAACCAATCCGAATCGACCACAGCCAAGGAAAAGCAGGATGAATCCAGACAAGATAGTCTCAAAACCAATATCAAATGCTTTGAAATAACATATATTAGGGGCTGAAGCTCTAACTTCCCAAGCAAATTCTTTAATTGTACTATGAACCGACTTATTAACAAAACCCACCGACTCAAGGAAAGAGCCTCCACTTAAGTTCGCGGAAAAAGTCGCCAGATGTATCAAAGAAGCCAAGTGCCTCCAAACACAATCAACACACGGCACTTCCAAATATTAATAGTAGTCTAAGTTTTGTTCAACTGGTAAAAGATATAAATAGATAAATAGCATACTAATTCCTTTGGACAAATGCATGGTTTCTTTCTCATCCAACTTCTTCGATATTGAAACAAGGGCAATAACAGAAATAGGGCAAGAGCCAGATATGAAAATTAGAAATGAACATTCCAGCAAGCGGCAGTTTATCACAACCACACAATTAACCAACATAAAGAGGAAAAAAAAATCGGCATTGTATTGCACGGCATGAGATCTGAACTCTGCTTGCCTCGTACAACACTTCCTTCGGGAAAGCAATAAGAAATATATTAGGCAATCAATTTCCATCGTGAGTTGTGACCATACCTGAGCGATGATGATGTTAATGGAGCGTAGTCTAGAAATGAGGAAAGTTCACGCGGTCGGAGCTGGGAAAGAGTATATTCAACGGTAGATCTGATAATAATTGAAGATCCGAATTCCCGAATAATCCTTCGCAGGAGTATAAGGGAACATCAGAAAGCGAGCCCCCTTTCTTTCCGCCGAAATCAAGAGGCAGTCACGTGAACTTTTCGACGGCGGCGGTTTTGAATTATCCCTTATTTTTTCAATATTCTAAGATACCTCTTCCGGTCCTATTTATAAGTTATTTCTACCAACTTCATTAATACCACTATAATAAAAGTACAAGGAATAAAAGTAAGTAAAATTCTAAACATATCTCTATATAACAAATTTAAAAAGTAATGTCCTGTTACTTTTTTTCTCTCATGAAGAGTAATTTTAGAAATACCTCTCAAATATTACCTAAAAAGACGCACCGTAATTTATAAATGAGACCAAATACACCTTTTAAAATTGGACTTATAAATGGGATCAGAGAGAGTAGATTAATTTTATTTTCTCAAGAGTTTGCCAGAAAATTTCCAGAGCTTTTTCTGAAAGTTTTTTTATTTATAATTTAACACTATTTAAATATTAAGGTTTTTCAATGAAAATACCATAGAATACTGATAAAAAAATAAGGTAAACGGATAAAAATACTCAGTGATTGACGTGAAAACCCTAATAACTTAAAATGAGATAAAAAATAAAAATAAGCATGACGTTACTTATATTAGCGTAAAAATTATCAATCCATTAAATATTACAAAGAGCCATTAATTTTTTATGTTAATGTCAAGTCTTCTCTTACCTAGTGTCAGGATTGATAATGATTGCTCCCATGGAAGGCTAGAGCTCAATAGGTGTCATCCCCTCTTCCTTCCATTTTCATCCGCTTGCAGTTTCGATTTTATAAACCTTTTTCCTTGGATTTTCTCGCCCCTCTTCCTCCGAATTCCAATCTTGTACATCATGGGTTCCAAGCCACCCATCGCCCCTAGAAATGTAAAAGTTCTTCAGATCCACCTATTTTACTCTACGATGGAGAAGGAAACGACGGTGATGGACTTCGATCAGCGTGATCCAAAAGCGGATGAGCGACGGCGGATCTAAAGAGGGATGGTGGTCACAGCTCTCGGATTAAGGTTCGATCCAAAAGGATCTAGTATCTAGAGGGAGAGGGTCGCGGATCCAGAACCTTTAAAACCCTCTACCTCTGCCATTCTCCTTCATTTCCTAAGCGTTTGTCAGCATGAGTAGGTGTGTCCGGCATGATCCTCCATTGCTAAGGGTCCAAGTCATGCATTCATCTTCTTCGTCTTGCTTTATCGTCCTCTCTGCTTGCTCCACCTTGCCAGGACCTCATCTCCCTTGGTTTGTCATTGCTAATCTGGTTCAAAGGATCCTGAGATTCTCCTCATTGTTCTTGTCGTACTCAATGCCCTGAAAGTATTTTTGCATTTGACCCTTGTGTTCGTGTGTTTGATTTCTTTATCTGTTTCTTCTATTTTTCTTTTTCACTTTGATCTGCTTTAAATTTTTTATTCCTTGGACTTGTGCATTTTTTTTATTGTTTGTTGTTGAGTTTTGGATTGACTTTTTTCTAGAAATTGTTGTTGACTTGTACAATTCTTCAACGATAATGGTGCTTCTCCTTACCTCTCTGGGTTTCTTTTACTTGTGTTCTTTGTTCTTTCAATTCTGAAGCATTCGTGGGATAAGGAAGAGGCACAGGTGGCAAGCACATTCAAATCCACATCATATTTTATATCCCACCTGGCAAGGAGAGAGGGATTAACGTTGAAAATTAGCAGCAGTTAGTGATATTTATTGAATTAGTTGTTAAAATATTTTTATTACTTTTCTCACGAGTGTTATTAGCCAATTATTTAATGAATATTTTTATTCTTTTTATAAAAAAAAAGATAATTGTATTTAAAAATTAAAAAATGACCTACCTAATTATGTAAAAGTTATGCCCCTTGAATTACAAAAAAAGTTAGACATTTAACAAAACATATTATTAAATAAATAATTTACATTTTGAAAAGTGAACTTCTCCATGTCAAAGGGTTATTAAGGTGTACCAAAAAAGAAAGGATTATTAAGATAAATTACACGCAAGCATGACACGTGTAAATCAGTTGATAAAAAAAGGAAGGAAATATGGCTATTTTGAACACTTCTTTTATTTGAGATAATCTTATTTAAAACATTATCGAATATTAAATATAAATATTTTTTTAAACAAATATTTAAATTTATCACATTATGAAAAATCAATTCTATCAAATCTTGATTTAACATATTGTGAGAGGTTAGTTTTTTTTTTGCTGGAACTAATGTTCCCATTGCGCCAAGCTGCACCAATCCAAAAAAAACAAACAAACATAACAAACAAACCGTGGCATTTGCGGTCCAGTAACGTAGTGTCTTACTTTTGGTCTTGCTGCTAATGGGCTTCGTGGAGCCTGTTTTGCAGTCCACTTTCTACCCAAAAAGATTAAATCTTATATAAAGATAAATGAATGTAGCATCTTGTAAATTTTATATTATAAGTTCGTGATCAGAACTTGATTTCTTGTTCTAAAAAGTTATATTTATGACAAAATTATTTGGTGGGACTTTTTAATTTTAAAATTAAGAAAATCATATACCATGTCACAATCCAGCAAAATATGTCACGTAAGTTAAATAATTCAAATCATGTATAAACTCGTCCTCCCAATGCAATTTCATATATTTACTGCTCCTTTCATTTTAAAATGTAAAGTATTTTTTAAAAAGTTAGATATTTAAAATATAAATTTTTAATTTTTTAAAGTGTAATCATTACATTTTTTTTAAAAGTGCCCATATTGATAGTGATTTTTTGTATTTATTATAGGCCGTTTAATATGGGTAAGTATAAAAAAGTAAGATTAGTTTAAAAATGGATAACTATTTTATTAGAAGTGAGATTCAATAAAAATTGTTTTATATTTTTTAACGGAAGGAGTATTTATTATCTATTTTTATTTGGCCAGGAAAAAAGTTATCTATTTTGATTGATGTTACTGTTTATCATCTGTCACGTAGATATGAATGCATACACTATTAACATAATCATGGCTTCAACCAATGGGAGCCAAGACCGAAAGTCAGAGGAGCAAGATTTTTTTAATTATGTCAGAATTTAATGTGTTTATATAAATATTGTAATTATATGATATATATGTGAGTAAGAGCTGAATAAAATTTATCCCTTCTAACTTTTCATTGTTACAAATGTTCTAAATTAATAATGTAAAAAATATTTTGATCTGAAATGATAAGAAATTTGATTCGTATGACTTAAATAACCATTTTTTTGGTACGAGAGACTTAAATAACTATTGTTATTTATTTGATTATAACTTGAACAAAATTTCTTGCATTTTTTTTCTAGTGTAACATGAGAATGTACTTTTTATATTTTATATTAAATATAAAAATAAGACGGAAAAAAAAAACAATATGGGTCTCAAACAAAATTTAACATCACAAGCGGAGCAATACAAATATAATATGATATTGTTGTTGATGTTTGATTAAAACCATGATTCTTGAAAAACTTATATGTATACACATTAAAAATTAAACTTTAGTTTTTTGTATTTTGTATCCACTGCCGTCTCCCCACTTCCTCCCCCAATCTCGAGTGATACTTTGCTTTCCCCCCTCTCTTTGCCAACAAAAATATTTCTATTAAAATAAAGCTAAATAATCCAACAAAAAAAAATAAAATTACAACTAAAAAACTTTAAGGTAGATTAGCCAGAGTCTTGAAACTTTTTTCAATCAGTAAGTGCGTGTCAAAATATGAGTGAAAATCACATCAACATATACATTTAGGTTTAGATCTAGGGGCATCGATCTATCTGCCCACCTTGAGATAAATGTGACTCTGGCACTAATTATAATTATAAGTATACAATATATACAACCCCTCTAAATTACAATTCAAGACAACGATGAGATTGTGTGTTCTTCTTTACTACTTGATCAAGCGACATATGCTTTTCACCTTTTCTTAACGGTTGGAAGGATATTGCAATGTTTTTTTCAAGTTTAAGGGGCATCACATCTAGAGTTGTCAATTAGCATTGGCTTTTGAAGGGTTGTGGCCTAAATAGAATTAAAAAAAAAAAAATAGACAGGTTTGGTCCTAAAGGGCTTGAGCTTTAAAACCCAATTTATTATTTTTTGCCCCATTTTCAAGCCCAGCCTTATATGAAAGACTCAGAGCCGAACTCACAAGCCCTATTTTAAAAAATAAAAAATTTAAAATAAAATTAAGAATTATAAATTAATTAAAATATTATGAAATTTTAAAAAAAATCAAAATTCTCATAATTTTTTATAAATTAAACAACAAACATTTAGAAGTCTAGTAATAAAATTCAAATCTTGATTTAAAAAGTTTTTATTTTTTTATAAATACACAAACATAATAATTATAAAAAAATAAAAAATATTAAAATTTTATATCATACACTGATATTTATAAAATTATATTAAATTAATTGTAGAATGAATTAAAATTAATAATAATATAATGCGTGTAAAATCAGGTGAGCAGGTCATTAGCTTCAAACACATATTCCAACAAAAAAATAATAATATAATAGGGTTTGAAGGTTAGCTCAGGCCCGAGCTATTTTTTATAGGACTTATTAGAGCTAAGCTTTCAAGCCCGATTACTTTAAAAAAATTCATTTTTAAAGCCTAAACCCTAATTTAAACAAGGCCTCTAAGCTTGACTCTTCAAGGTTGACCCTTATTCCCGGCTCTAAGCCCAAACGAGTGATCTTAATAAGCTCAATTACATTTCAAAGATTCATTTTGTAACGGCTAGCCTTACAGCCTCA